TTTCAGGCGACCTTTCCGAACAACCAATTGTTCGGGAATACATTTCGATGTGGGATCATTCCATCCTTGGACAATCACTGGAGCTAAATCCCGCGCCATAGCTTTGATATTCCCATTTCCATCTATTTTTATAATTACACCCTAAATCATTATTAACTAATTGATTAAAGTATAAATAATTAATATATTTATTAAATTCAATATTATCTTATATTGTTAATATATTACGTTGAAAGTGATTTTTGTTTGGGTAAATTAAAAGAATGCGCTTACCATTATCATTTACTTCAACTAGAAATGTGAATTGTTGAAAACTTCGATAAACTATTTAAGTATTAGAAAAACTTTGTGAAAAATCTTTTTGGTAAGAAAAATAAAATAAAAAGACGAAATGTTTCAAAATGAAACAACAAACATCGCCAATTTTATGCCTGATATCATTGTTATCCTTATCATGATCAAAATTTTCAAAATGGTTAAAGCCAAGTGTGATACCGTCGTACTCATCATTGCTACCATCAATTATCACTGTCGTCCGCCTAAACTGTAATTTTCACTTTCTGCTATTCACATTTGTTTTGTCCGTATGAAATAAAAAATAGGAAAGATTAAAGCGATTAAAAGAATGATGATTTCAATTAAACAAAAGAATTTTTGAATTTTTTCAAAATATTTCAAGTTCATTTTAACAGTGCTAACAAAAATTTAATTGCAATCAAACAATATGGCATATTAACAAAATCATTTCTTCATAGTATTGGTATAAATAAATGTTTTCATAGTACTCGTAATATTGGTATATCTCGGAGACAGGATCTGGTATATCTTGGAGAGTGAATCTTTCAATTGCATTTTGGATAAGGAAGCAGCGAGAGATTTTCTGTCCACATATGAAGAAATGAACGAATAATACTGGAGAAGAGTTAGTTGAAAAAAATAAATGGAAATTTAGAAATAAAGCTAAGAAAGGTCTAACCTCAAATATACCTTTGCAAGACATTTACATTTTTCCATCAAAATAATCTTACCCCATAAGTCATCGTTCAAATCACCTTTTTCAAGCTTTTCCAATATTTCAATGACATGTTCCTGGAATTTCTTTTCTACTACAAATTTTTATATATTGTTAAAGAGAGATCATTTTTAAAGTAAAACGATTTCCTCCTAATTTAAAAGCAAAAAAAGGGCGAAACATATTTTTTGTTGCTATACGAAGTTATTAGGATTTAATTGATATTAAAATGTTAATAATTGATAGTGTTAAGCAGTATATATTAATAAATCAAACGGCACATCATTTATTTTCGGCAATAAATTCCTCCTCTTATTCCAGAATACGGCAACAATTAAATTCACTTTTTTTTTTTAATTTTAACTTAAAATTTTTATCATCTACTAGTAACAATTTTTGTTTGCAAAACAAAAGTGAACAACAATAAATTTCGTACAAAAAAAATTTTTTTTTTAATCTGAAAATAGGCTAACTCTTTCGAATTGCTCTACAGTATACCAACGATCGGCGTTATTGGTACTGTTATTGGATGAAAGCGCTCGTAGTTCATCGATACCATTCGGACCATGACCTACACCAGCCATGCAAGCTGCTTGTACTCGTGATAAACTACGTTCATCTTGCATTTTCAAATTTTGCCTTTTCTTTCTGTCTCTCTCTCTCTCTCTCTCTCTATCTTTCTTCTTATCTTCTATTCTTTACATTCAAAAATAGTAAAAATAATTAATATTAACTTCAAAAATTAGTAAGTAAATTTAGCAGAACAATATTGAGAAATGATGAATATTCTTGAATAGATCCGATAATATATATTTGAATTCCAGTTGTGAAATTTAACATTTAATATGAAATAATTAATTTCAGAAGATGAAAATAAATAAAATAATTGATGATGACGAAAAGATGTAAATATGAGTGAACTGCAATAGATGGCAGAGAAGTAATGGATGTATACCTATGCTTTTGAATTAAAGCTACTCTACAGGTACCACTTCACATATAACAATCTGTTAAAGTTAAGGTGGAAGAAAAGATTTGAAAAAAGGTAAGAATGGATAAAAAAATAAATAAAGTTGGTAGAGAGTGAAAAAAAAAATGATAGAAAAGGAAGTGATTTTTTAATATTATTCCAGTTTAGTTGATGACAGATGCAAAGAATGAATAATAAAAAAAAATGTTCGATCATATTTTGATTACTTTGAACAAACAATTTTTAATTTTCTTTTTTAAACCAAACTTCTTGTCCAGTTTTTAAATTTTTTTTGAAGCATTTCTCAAAAGCAAAAGAAAAATTGAATATTTCTTCGTTCAGTTCTTATTTGTATACCTTAGCAAATAAATAAAATCCTGAATTTTTGCTACTGCTTTTCTCTTTTTTTTTCATTTAACTAACTAACATGTCGTTTTTCTGTTTTCTTCATTGAATTCAATTTTCCTGCGAAAATATTATTGAACAAGGGGAATTAGAAAAATAACATTTTCCATAACATAACACTACCATTTTCTATTTTACAGTACCAATACTAATTTAAATTAAAAAGGAAATTTTGATAAATTAGAATGAGATAAAATAAATTGAACTGAATAATAAATTTTTCAATCCTGTGATATTTATACTTTCGTCTTAAATTATCTGCAACATTCTGCTCGTGATAATGGTTGATATCACGTTTCAAGTCATCATTTTATTTTCTTTTTTTTTTGAAAAATTTTTTTTTGACTCCTCAGAATTATAACAAATATGATTGTGATAGAAGAAAATTTTAGATTACAACTTTAATGACTGCAATAATATTTGTCTAAAATCTTAGACATACTCAAAAAAAATCTAAAATTTTCAGCTTTCATTGAACTAATAAACGTTATTGAAAAAAAAAAAACTAGCATTATCCATAATTCGAAGCGAAGTCAAAATTTTAACAACATAAACTTATAATGCAAGCTTTCATAAAAATAATCAGCATCTATTAAGAATTGATACTTTTGTATTTTCAAAATTTCGAAATAAAAGTTTAACAAGTGCTACAGCATTCAAACAAATTCCATTTGATTAGTTTCACTCCGATTAATTCTTTTTAATCCCTTTCAGGTTATGCTAAAAAACGTTAAGCAAATTACTCGACAACAAATTTCGATGAAATTTTGTATCATGTGCTTAAAGCTTTTTCAAACTTTAAATACATAATAAAGCTGATTAAATATTTTGATGTAATTTAATCCCATATTAAATTATTTTCATTCTTTTAGGAAATTTGAAAGAATTTTAGCCATTTTTTCTTACATTTTAATTTGCACTCACAATATCAGTGGGTAAGCATTAATTATTAGCATAACAAAATATTTGCTAAATTTTATTTTATCCAAATTTTATTTTCACAATTTCAAATAATAAAATATTTCAATCGTTCAGCTCATTAATTTATTTTTTTTCTAATATTAATCTGCAATATACATATCTAACACTTAATTTCTTATATTTTGAACAATTTTTAACTTTTATTTTCTTCGTCCCTTTAATTCTTTCAAATTGAAAGATATTCATCTAAACGCTTATAAGCAAATAAATGACGAATGATTTCATTTCCGTTTGCCCTTTTAACTAAAATTTAATGTAAAAGCGCATAGCAATCATTGTAAGCGTTTAGTACAAGTTTGTAATTTAAAATTTCCTTGCCGTAGCAAGCATAAAGAGAGAGAGAGGGAGAGAGAGAGAGAGAGGGAGAGAAAGGCTTAAATGAAGTGTTGTATTGATAAAATACGGTTAATGAATGATAATGAATGATAGTGAATGGTGGTGAATTGATATGCTGTAATGATTATCCGAAAGAGTGAGAGGGAACAGCTGATGTGCTCGTTGCAGCGGAGAAAATGCAATTTGGCTTGCATTCTGCACCATCCCGAAGTTGATGAGATGACAATGTTTAGTTGAATGTATTTTGACCCGAAATGCTGCCGCTTTTCGAATTCATTTTCTATTCCATTTTACAATTTACAACTTACTTAATTTTTTTTTAATTTTTCGATAGTTTGAAAATGATTACATTTCTTCACAATGAAACATAATTTAGTTAAGAAAAAAAAAGAAAAAAATAGGGTTATATTATGATATAAAGAGAGAAAACTTTATAATTTCCTATCATTATTATTACATAATGCTAATAATTCAATAAGTAATGATCAAAATTTTATTTTGTTTTTTTTTTTTTTGTGAGGGAACTAACCATTATTACTTTATGTTTGATAAAATTTTCACTTAACAACTAATAGTTTTTTTTTTTTGAAATTTTATGATTAATTTTTACCAAAAACATATGCACCAAATTTAAATTTAACAATTAAATTAGTCTTTCCTAAAATTACCTCTTAAAATCGGCTTATAATTTTTTTTAATTTAAAGAGATAAATATGAATGCCAATAAAAAATATGTCAATTTTATATTTGTATGAGCAATCAATCCTTCATATTTGGAATAATTAGATTTTTTAGAATTATTTTTCTTTTCCCAAATAACAAATTTTAAATAAAATTATTCAACGCCAAATTCCAAATACTAACTAAAATTTCTATCTTTTCTATTGCTTCATTTTATTGTAAATAGCAAACACATCAAAGAAAGTTTACCGTAACTTATTGAATTTTCAAATATTTGTAGGCGTATTAATCATGATTTTTTTGTCTTTTATTTGGAATTCGAATAGTTTTTTGATAAAATTTTTGCTCTTTAATTTTCCTCAAGGAAATGTAGCAGAGAAGCAAAGTCAGAAAATTTGATCTCATTTGGAAAAAAACAAACAAATGACATTTGAACATACGGAAAAATTTATATATTTTTATAATTTTATGAAATTCACTCATTCTTCGGTCTATTTCAAGTTATAGTGTTATTTCAAAAAAAAAAGGAAAAGAATCCTAAACAACGAAAAAAAGCTAATCTCAAAGATTTATTAGCTAAAATAAATCATAACATTCTATTTTATTTGATTATTGACAAAAACAATTTAACATATATAAAAATCATAAAAAATGAAAAGAATGCGCTCATTGGAATTTTTGTTAAATAAAACGAATCATTTTAACACTAAAATAGTTCAATTGTTTTTATTTCAAAACAGTTCATTTTTGAAATCATTTTTCTAAATTATTTTTTAGCTGATAAATTAAACTCTTTTTCCCGAAAAAAGTACCAAAAAAGACCAAATAATTTAACATTTTCCAATTCGTTTTTTGTCGAATAAATACATCATATTGTTCCAATCATACAATGATAATGTAATCGGAAAACAAGAAATACATTAATAAAATATATCTAAAAAGCCTAAAGAGTTGAATTGAAACAAATATTTTTAGAAATATAAATGAATTTATACTTCACCTTACATTTGTTGCAAAATTTTTATTTCTATCTCTCGTTTTTATGTGCACGTTATTTAAATACATCCCTGAAATATTTCTTTAGAAATTAATTTTTTTATTTACTGTATATACACTCTATCATCAATCATCAACTTACCATCATCACCAATCTCATTATCACTAAATATATGTACTTGCCAATTTTGTACTGTATCACTGTACCAGCTATTATCAATTTATCACTACTACATCGCCATCGAGCTTGTTATCATTTAAAGAAATTTTGTATACTGTATGACTGCATCACCTATCACCATCATTATCAATCTCTTTATCACCAAATAAACAGCTGATTTGTTTTTTTAAGGCACTAAAACACGGATGATATGAAAAGATCTTATCATCAATCTTATATATACTGTATCACTGTATCACTTATCACCAACTTATTGATCTTTTTTTTCAATAAGTATATGCTCTTTTTGAACTATTATGATATGATTACAGTGAAGCAACATTGAGAAAATTTCTTACAGGAACTTTTGAAATCCTTTTGGGAAATAAGAATACTTACTTGCATTTCCATTTGATATTGCAAATGGATTAGTTTGAGAGTATATTTCAATATAACAATATTTATAAAATAATAATAGACTGAATGACATTATAATTGATAAGATTAATTAGTTTTCTGCTCCAATCATTTCATTTCTTTTATTCTTAATTAAAATACTTATAAAATATCAGGTATTTATCCGAAATCAAATCTGTCAAAAATTATAATCACTTTGTGCCATTTATATCGGTAAATAAGTTAACTAAAATTATTGAAGTATTGATTTTGAAAGAATATTATATATGCTATAAGCATTATGAGAGAGTCATCACTGTTTGAAATATTTCAAATTGCACTTTCCTTCGCTTCTGAAACAAACTACAACTACATTTCATCGGATCGATGAGCTTTTTTTTTTGGAATGGTTTCAAATTTCATATGCAATAACTTCCAGAAAAATAAAGGCATACGTGAGATTCGTCAATTCCTTCTCTTTTGCGCAATCTTTATGCGCCCATAATTAGTAGCGAATAATGAGTAAATGATTCTTATGATTTTAACATCGTTCTGTTTCACTTTAAATTTATTATGAATTAAATTTGAAACATTTCTTATTTCTTGCTTTGTTCATTACTGCCCATTCCAATACACAATCTCCGTATCGTGATTTCTCCTCTCTCGATAATATTTTTCAGTAAATCGTTTGCAAATAAAAT